CTCTTCAGCACTCATTCTCAGGTGGCATGGAAGACTTGTGTGACAAAGCAGAGAACTAGGGAATGATTCCAGTGATGGCAGATGGTATTTATTACTATTAATAGTAACAGGAATAATAACACACTGCATTAATGTCATGGTTTTTAGATATATCCTGAGGTAGGCAAGTGAGTATTATTATTTCATAGATAAGAAAATCAAGTGACAGAGAGCCGTGACTTGCCTCAATGACACTATCTAGTGACATCACAAGGACTCTCCTAATCCCAGTTCCTGTATTTTTCTAAAAGATCATTGCAACTATAATGAATTTATTTTTAATAAAATGACAGGAAAAAAAATCAATCTAATAAAGCTGTCTACATGTTCTGCATTTATATTCCTCATAAAAAATTCAACCTCATTTTAGAAGTCTATATATTTTTAAAAAGCGATTGGTTTTCATATTAATTCATGATTTGATTACTTAATTGGCTAAAACTAAAGGTAGATTTTTATAGTACTTTGTTAACACAATCACACAAAATGACATCAAATTGCTTGTACCATATATACACACATATAGTTTTAAAAGTACAGAATACCTGCCACCACTTATCTTTACATAGTGATGTTAAATATTTCTTCTCTGAAAAATAATTATCTATTTTGAGAACCAGAACTAAATACATTCTCAAAACATTTGTTTCTACCCAATTGAATGATAATGTATTCACTAAGCTATAGGATCCTTCTATATTTCTCTAAATATTAAAAAGATTCTCTAGATAAAATCACCTGTTTGTATCTGTTATAAATAACAAAAATGTTTAAAAGATATATGAAATATATATATGAAAGAGTTGTTTTAAATCTTAAATGCTTTGCCCAAATGCATTTCATCAGTGGTCTTCACAATCATTATTTTAGTAACTGGATAACTAGTATGGAAAAACTAGTTTCTAAAATATATAAAATAACTAATAGCTTAATCTGAATATAATAGTGCTTAATTTGTTTAAGTGAAAATTACATTGAGCCTAGACTTTTAACTATGTAATTGAATTAAATAATACACCATGGCTACTCTGTATAAATTAAATCCTCATGAAAATCATCTTAACATCAAAAACTCTGGGTAAACATCCAAACAATGAACAAAGTACTCCAAACAACAAAATTCATGTTTAATACTTACACTGTAAAATGCTTATCCCTTCAGGTAAAATTACAAAATTGTTGAATGATTCTGCTTCTTTCAATAAGCTACATACAAATGCCCAGTGTACATCCAAAAAGGTAGTTAAGAGGGGCTGGGCATGGTGGCTCATGCCTTTAATCTCCCAGCACTTTGGGAGGCCAAGGTCAGAGGATGGCTTAGTGCTAAGAGTTTCAGACTAGCCTGGCAACAACATAGGAAGGCATCGTCTTTATCAATCAAAGAGACAAACCAAAAAGTTTGTTAAGAGTTGCTCAAAAACATCTCAGTAGTAAACTCAGTTGGGTGATGAAATCCTACTGCTGAGAACAGTCACTCAGGGACACACAGACCACAAGGAGAAAGGGAGGACCATTTTACAAAGTAAACAAGTTAAAAAAACACAAAACACAACAACAACTACTCACAAAGAAAAGCCCAGGCCCAGATGGCTTCACTGGTAAATACAAACAAATACTTAAAGAAGAATTAATACAAATTCTTGACAAACTCTTCCAAAAATAGAAGAGAACACTTCCCAACTCATTCAATGAGGCCAGTATTACCGATACCAAAACCAGACACTAAGAAAACTACAGACCAGTATCAATTAAACATGAAAATCCTCAAGAAAATACTAGCAAACCAAGCCCAGAAACATATAAAAGAGATTATATGCACCAAAGAAGTGGGATTTATTCCATGAATGCAAGGTTGGTTTAACATATAAAAATCAATTTGTGTGATATATCATACCAACAGAAAAGCCAAAAGCCAAAAGTATCATCAAAAAGGAAGAGCATCTGACAATATCCAATATCATTTCATGATAAAAACATCAACCACCACAACAAAAAAGTTAAAACAAAAAACAAAAAACAAAAAAACTAGGTATGGAAAAAACTTACTGAATTTGATAGAGCGTCCATGAAAAATCCACAGCCAACATCATATTTAATGGTGAATGACTGAATGCTTTCCCCCAAGATCAAGAACAAACTTAGGATATCCACTCTTGCCATTTCTACTCAACAGTGTTAGAGGTTCTAGCCAAGGCAATTAGGTAAGAAAAAGAAATAAGAGTATCCAGATTACAAAAAATGAAATAAAACTACTTCTACTTGCAGGTGAAATATCCTAGTTCTCAGAGTTCTTTCTACTTGCAGGTGAAATATCCTAGTTCTCCTAGTGGATTCTTTGGGATTAGTATATATGTGGGATACCCTGCTATACCTTTGTATATATGGGCTCTCCTGCATTATCCTGTATTTAGAAAATCGTAAGAAGTCCACTAAAAACTATGAGAATTAGTATGTTCAGCAAGGATGTAGATTCAAAATCAAAAATATACAAAAATCAACTGTATACACTTGCAATAAGAAACTGAAAATATCATAAAAGAAAACAATTCTATTTACAATAGAAGTTTTTAAGACACTAATGCTTAGATATAAATTTAACAAAAAAGTACCAAATTTGACTCTGAAAACTATAAAACATCACTGAGAGAAATTAAAGAGAATCTGTATGAATAGAAGGACATCCCATGTTCAGAGATCAGAAGACTTAATTAAGATGGGAATATTCCCAAAATCTATCCAGAGATTCAGCACAATCCCTATCAAAATCTTAGGTGGCTCCTTGCAGGAACTGACAAGCTAATCCTAAAATTTCATATGAAAATTTGAGGAGCAGAGAATAGCCAAAATAATCTTGAAAAGCAAGAAGGAGGTTGGGTACGGTGGTTCACGCCTGTAATCCCAGCACTTTGCGAGGCTGAGGCAAGTGGATCATGAGGTCCAGAGATGGAGACCATCCTGGACAACATGGTGAAACCCCGTCTCTACTAAAAATACAAAAATTAGCTGGGTGTGGTGGTACGTGCCTGGAGTCTCAGCTACTTAGGAGGCTGAGGCAGGAGAATTGCTTGAACCCGGGAGGTGGAGGTTGCGGTGAGCAACAGATACGCCACTGCACTCCAGCCTGGGCAACAGGGTCAGACTCCATCTCAAATGAAAAAAAAAAAAAAGCAAAAAAGAAGCAGGAGTACTTACATTTCCCAATTTCAAAACTTACTACAAAGCTACAGTAATCAAGACAAAGTGGTACTGGCATAAGGATAAATGTATACATCAATGGAATAAAATAGAACAAACCCTCATAGTTATACTGATAGTCAATATGAATGACAAAAGAATTCAATGTGAAAACAATAGTATTTCCAACAAATGATGCTGGAACAACTGAATGTCCACATGTAAAAGAATGAAGTTCACATTACATACAAAAATTACCTCAAAATGGATCAAAGACCTAAAAGTAAGAGCTAAAACTACAAAACTCGTAGAAGAAAATATAGGGGTGAATTTTCATGACCTTGGATTAACAATGGTTTCTAAGGTATATACACAAGAGAAATAAAAACATGTCTGCACAAGAACTTTATAGCATGCACATTCATAGTAGCCTTATTCATCATAAGCAAAAATGGAAACCCAAATGTACATCAACTGATGAATGAGTTCTTAAAATATGGTATATCCACACAGTCAAAAACTATTCAGGAATAAAAAGGAATGAAATACTGACACACATGCCACAACATAGATGAATGTGAAAACATTGTGCTAAGTGAAAGAAGCCAGTCACTAAAGACCAAATATTATATGATTCTACTTACATCAAAGTCCAGAGTGGGCAAACTTAGAGTCTAGAGAGTCTATGTTCTAAGTAATTTGAAAATTAGAACCTAAATTCTATTCCTGTTGCATTCTTGAATTATTACACTCCTGATAAAAGCACTAATAGTCAATAATACTTTTTTGCTAAATGCCCCAGGATAGCTAGCAAAGGAACTTAAATTTAACAACTTTCAATTATGTTCTAATTTTTAAAAAGCAGTATCTAACATCTCATGGTATTTTATACTTAACTGAAGAACGGCCTCTCTTTATAGATAATATTCATCCAGATTACTATAAAATTCAAAAAAAGGACAGCAGCTACAAGATCCCTAACTCTAAATCACCTAACCTATAAGAGCAATAAGAAATCCTTCTGGTTGCATATAAAATGTTAGTTTGGGGCCTGAAAGTGATAATTCAGTACCATTTATAAACAGGAAAAGTATACAAAAAGATTGAAATTAAACTAAAGTGCAAAAAATGACAAAAATTACAATATTGAAATCATACAACAATGTTATCTATACAAAGATGTTCTTTGGTTAAATATAAAACATCATGGGATGTTAGAGGTCTCTTTTTAAAAATTAGGACAAGATTCAAAGTTGTTAAATTCAGCTTCCTTTGCTAGCTACTCTAGGACATCTAGCAAAAATATTATTGACAATTACTGCCTTTAACAGGAATATAATAATTCAAGAGTGAATAGAATTCAGATCCTAATTTTCAAATCACTTAGACTATGCCCCATTTTGAAAATTCAGATACATATTTGACAAAAACACTGGGCCAAGGCTTACTAATGAGATTTGATACAAATTTGACTCTATTTCTGTTGCTATCTGTTTTATCATTTTGTAAGAAAGCTGAGTCTAAAACTATACAACAGGTTAAACATTTCCAAATAGTATATAAGCATTTATAGATTAATTTCTAAGTAACACCTAAAACTCACCATATTATGTAAATCCTGCACATTTCTTTTTGAAACCATGGCTCCAACTTGCAATGTGTAGCAACATTTTTCCTTATTCTGACAGCTTGATTAAAACACAGAGCTAAGGGGCTCATGAAGAAAAGTGCTTTTAATATCTAAAACTCCACAGCAATTACTTTTCCAACAGAGTAAGTGTACTTACATCAATATCCTCTTGAGTGAAAGTTTCTGGATCTTCTCCCATCATGTTGGCTAAATGTCTCTTTCCTATGTTGAACTCTTCAATCTGCTTTTTAATAAAATCTACTGTGTAAGTTTCACGTTTTAAGGCGGGAACATTTTTCTTTCTTGTTACAACTGCAGTATGACTTAGCCCTAATACCTAAAAGAAAATATAAATGTAAAGAAAAGAAAATAAATTGAACTGAGATCTTCTAGGCCACTGTCTTTAAATAAAATAGGATACTGAATACCATAATAAAAAGAGACAACTACTTGTAATCGATTGGAGTCTAAAAAAAAAAGTTTAAAAGGCCTGTTAAGAAAGTTGCTAGAATGTGTCCCCTGCTCAAAAACTTGTTTAAAATGTAGTTTAAGTGACTAGCATTTAAATATATTAAAACCAAAAATATCTGTAAGTGGTATGCCACCTCCTGGTCTATTTTAAACATCCACTTTTGATAATGCTTGGTCAATGTCAGTGAGTGATGATATTTGGCACACTGAATAAAGAGTAAAAGCCTACTCCCTTAAACAGGCAAATGCACAGCCACCCAGAAACCAGCAAGCAGAAGACATGAGAGCAAACGGTGTGGCCTAGGGAAGAGCACCTTACACTGTGGGTATTCGCCTTATTTGTGGGTAAAAATATAGCCTATCTTCAACAGTCTTTTGGCTTTGCTTAAGACTTTATTCCATGGTCCTTACATTAAACTAATAAACAGAAAAAAACGCTCGACTAAACATTTAGATTTCTTATTACTAATTTGGTTTAACACGCTAACTGCAGAAAGAAAGGCTCGCATATCTTTTAAAAGCATCAGTAATTATATCCCACTTGCGGCTGCTGGTCCTTTTATGCTGTGGCACTAGAAATTTCCCTCCAAGGCATTAAGATTTCACCTTCAATCAAAGATGCTAAAGAACGAGAAAAATGTTTTCAAATGACATTGAGCTGCATGCAGTAGCTGGAAATAATCAGAACAGACCTTTCTAGTCCTGGCTTTCCTTAAGATCTAAAATCTAAACCTTCATCGTGGCCCCAACAATTCTAAACACTCTTAAAGCAATATTCAGACTTTAAAGCTACAATCTTGGGAATCCACTCATTTCCTTTTTCATAAACATAAATCTCTCTCAGATATACGGCATTCACTGGCACTATCCCTCCTACCTCCATCTCCTTCCCCTCTGAGAGTCCTAAATTCAAATGCCTCTACGGCAATTTGTCACTAAAGTTACACCAGAAAATATAAGAAAAAATACAGGAGAAATGTAGCAATACCCAATTAATGAAAAAAATATGTTTTCAAACTCTTCCAAATTGATAGTAAAAATATAGTTTCTTCCTACTCTTTAATGAGTAAGAAAAGGGCAATTCAAAATTCTCTGAAACTTGAGTTTATTTTTACTTAGGAGATCACAACCTTCTAAAATATATTACTAACCAATAATTACCGTTCCTTAGAATGCTTTGTGAAGATACGGTGTTCCTGTAAATAAGCAAAAGCATGACCACAACTGGCTAATGCATAGTCCGCTCTTTTATAGATGCAGCCTGTCTATACACCCCTGCTCCCCTTGCCACAGCCCTGTGCCACCAACACTAACTCCCAACCACAGTGCTTCCCATCTTATGTTTTTACTGTTTTCCAGGGTATTTTAAAATTTGTTCTTTATAAGTCTACATCTTCTTTGAGCATTGGAGAACGTTGCTTCACATATTCCAACTGAAGAGAAATTTCCTACCCCAAGAATCATAGGAAAGGTGTGATTTGGGGGCATAAAAGTGGCAATCATATAGTAGAGACAATTCTCCCAAATGTTCTATTGCCAAAAGGATGATCACACTGCTGGTTTTATAAATAATGTATCAAAATGTTTTTGTTCACAGCTAAAGCAACCCTAATACAAGTGAACCCACAATTCAAACAAAATCTAGAAGACTTTCTTTTAGGTCACTACAACCACACTCCCTGCCAATCATCAACCACAGCCCTCAGGAGGAAAAATGTGCCTCCTGGAGAGTGTGGCTCCTTTCACTGATGGGATTCCAGAGGAGGAGCAAGATCAGAGAGGAAAGTGACGCATTCAAATTTTAAAATGTGTGTGAGATGCTGATGGACATCCCAGGAAGACAGATGTCCAGGAGGCAGGTGGCTTTGTGGGTGTGTCTTGTGGACAGACCTGAGATTCAGATACAGGTCTGTTAATAATCCACCTGAGACATGAGGTTGACACTTTCAGAGAAGCAGGAAAAATGGCAAGCATTTAGTGTTAGGACAAAAAACATGTCTTCTTCTAGTAATCAAACAAATCGTTTGTAGGTGAGGGAAGATAGGCAGAAAGGCAAGGTTACTTATGTCTTACACCCACTATTTTCTCTGTGAAATAGAAGATGATCTGCTGAGAGCAAAGGGTAGTAGGTTTAACAGACTAAGTACCTCATATTCAAAGACCAGTTGTGAAGTATAGACAGAAAAGCTGTAAGAAAGAAATTAGACATGGCTGGGCACAATGGTTCACACCTGTAATTCTAGCACTTTGGGAGGCCAAGGTGGGTGGATCACTTGAGGTCAGGAGTTTGAGACCAGCCTGGCCAACATGGTGAGACTCCATCTCTACTAAAAATTCCAAAAATTAGCAGGGCATGGTGGTATGTGCCTGTAATCCCAGGTACCCAGGAGGTTGAAACAGGAGAATCGCTTGAATTGCAAGGTGGAGGTTGCAGTCAGCTGAGATGACACCACTGTACTCCAACACGGGCGACTAGAGGGAGATTCCATCTTAAAAAAAAAAAAAAAAAAAAAAAAGAAATTACAGAAAAAATTTTAAGTATCCATTTACACTGGACGCTTAAATTACTTCTACTAGTAATATAAGTAGAGATAAGCCCATTACTAGTGAGCCAGGAAAATAATTCCAAACAGACAGGAATTGATATCCATTACCCATACAACGTCTGTAATATTTTGTCAATTTTCTTTCCCTATGGTTGGTTTCCTTGGATGTTTCAGTGGTATGTTCAACGTGCTATTTAGTTCCAGAGAGGTACATCTTAGGGTAGATTGTACTGTTTGGCATTACAAGATTTTCTACTCCTACGTAATATTTTTTTTCGATTCTGTTGGGTCATAATATTGCAACACTTTCAACCTGCTATTTACATTTCCCTGGAATATCATTGCTCATCTTTTAATTTAAATTTTAGACTAATTTGGGTTTTGTTTTCTTAACCCAATCTGAGATTTTAGTAGATGAGAATACTCAAGTTACATGGGCTTCATGGCTATTCTGTCTTATGTAATTTTTATATTTTTTATGCTTCCTTCCTATTTTCTTTCTTTTGCCTAATGAAAAAAAAAAAAAAACACTGATTTTTTTTGGGGGGCGGGATTTTGAGCTAGCAATTTGGACCATATACAGCTTCCTCTCATTTTACCAGTGACAATACATGTGTCTCTGAATAAAATGTTTAAATGTACTTCTCCGATCAACTTCAAAAATAAATCTCCAATGAATTCCTACTGACTTATTCAGCTCTCTTTTTCAGCCACAGCAATTATCTGCTCTTCTGTTCTCCACAGTTTAGATCAGCTTCTCTTAGTCTTATTTCTTATCCCTTGTTTCTGCATTCTGTATGATTTTGAAATCTTCACTCCGTGGTGTTTTCCCTCTTTCTGCAGTGTCAATTCTGCTTACTGCAGCCACGATGAATTTTTAGCTTTTTATATCATTGGTCTATCCTCAAAATTCTTGCCTCAACAGTTTCTTTTAATCATATCTTCTTGTCTTATCGCATCTCATAGAGCTCTCCCTCACTCAACTGATTTTTAAATGTCCTTGACAGTGTGAAGCAGTTGTGGTAAAATAATTCTTCCATTTTGTTAGGTAAAAATCCCTTTGTATTTTCTTCAGTTGTCTCTTCGACACTATTCCTTTTGTCCCGACAACATTTTAGCATCTTCTCCAGCAAAAGAGTTGATTACTGAAGACTTGGTATTTCACTTGATTTAAAATTGTGTCTGTCTATAGTCTTGAGTTTGTGACATAAGGTGGAGGCTTTCCTACTTTTAACATAACTGAAGTTTAAACATTTATATTCATTGTTCATTTAGAAAGGGCTTTTAAAAATGCCCCTAATTTGCTATTTTTCATAAAAGATCTTTAGGATCTTTTTTCAAAGACATTTCTACACATTGCTTAAGAGTATGACATTCTGGACATTTATAATTAAATTTACAAAGTTTTCACAGCATCAATAGCAGGATATTCAATATGTTTATTAAATGTCCATAATTATTCCAGCAATGGAATTATTTTGTAAAAATACAAAAATTAGCTGAGCATACTAGCAGGCACCTGTAATCCCAGCTACTCAGGAGGCTGAGGCAGAAGACTTGCTTGAACCCAGAAGGCGGAGGCTGTAGTGAGCTGAGATTGCACCACTGCACTCCAGCCTGGGCAACTGAGCAAGACTCCCTCTTGCAAAAAAAAAAAAAAAAATTGTGGCCAGGTCCAGTGGCTCACGCCTGTAATCCCAACACTTTGAGAGGCCAAGGCAGGCGGATCACAAGGTCAAGAGTGCAAGACCAGCCTGCCCAACACAGTGAAACCCGATCTCTACCAAAAATACAAAAATTAGCTGGGCTTGGTGGCAGGCACCTGTAATCCCAGCTACTTGGGAGGTGGAAGCAGGAGAATCGCTTGAACCTGGGAGGTGGAGGTTGCAGTGAGATGAGATGGAGCCACTACTCTCTCCAGCCTGGGCGACAGAACTAGTCTCCATCTCAAAACAACAAAAAAATGCAACAATATTTTCTACAGGGTCCATTTCCAATTAAAAAGCTATGAGGAGAGAATTTTCTTCAGATTTTATGTTTACAGAATATAGATACAACTCTATAGATTTGTTTCTTTTTAAAGACAATCAGTAGGTCAGACAACTATAATTTCAATCATGCAGGCTGCCAAAGAAGCAGACATATTCTGACAGAGCAATGACGTTCCAAATTTGACCAAATGCCAGTGTTGTATAGTCTCTTAATGCTATTATAGTAGTATTAAGGAGTTTCCTTTTAGTTAAATTAGATAAAAATGAAACAAAGAAGAATGTACGGCTAATTTGAATAGAAAAGGCAAAAAAAAAATACTCTGAGAATT